CTGGCCATCCGTGTGCTCATACCCATCCCCTGGCACACCCACAGCATCAGAGTCGATGGGCAGCGCTGCGTCCTTCACTGCTGAGCTTCAGGTCTTGTCTGACTAAAAGCAGCCCAGTACTTGGTGTAAAAACTCAACTTCTGAAGCCACCAACTGCTCTAAGGACATTCCCTCTTCTGTGGAGACCACAACAGCTCTAGGTGCCATTACCCTGTGATGCCAATGGGCTCTGGTCATGCAGGGTAAAAAAAAGGACCAGCCGTGCTGGGAAACTGGGCAAATTTGGCCTTAGTGCCTTTCAGCCAAGGAGAACAAACTGACACAGAGGATGACGGACGCAGTGCCACGTTTGAAAGGAACAGACTGGAAGGTGCCTGGTTGCTGCAGCAACAAGGCCAGGCTTTCGGAAAGATGGGTTTTTCTTTCTCTTTTCACTTGCCAATCTTCCCCCCACGTCAGCGCTCCGCTGCTGCGGGAGATGAGCGGTGACATTTACACTCCCACTAACAAGCTGGCTCGGTGATGGGCAGCTCTGCGGGAGAGCATCTGGTGTCACAGAGCCTGAACAGTGAGGAGGGGAGGGTCCTCTCAAGCAGTTAGCGTAATTTGGGACTTTTTATTATTATGAGCATTATTAGGGCAGGAGTGTGTACGGAAACAGCAGGCAAAGCTTCAGTGGGGCATACAGAGTTTCCTACCCTTCGTGTGGGTCTGGTCCTGCAGCCAGGGAGAGCAATAAGATGCTGCTCCAGCCCAGAAAGCATCTCTACATGTCCTGCTGGGAGAGGGGAGGAAGCAAAAAGGAAAAGAAAAAGGAAAGAATGAACAAGAAGTCAAGCAACACCACAGGAGCAATTTCACTTCTCAGCCTGGCACAGGATAACAGGCTGGGTCATCAGCCGTGCCCCCGCGGTTTGGTGTGCCTCAGTGCCCTGCGGAAGCTGCCGTGTCTCTGGCTCATTGGGAGAAACCTTGTTATTGTGGCAGAGGTGAAACTCAGGCTGCTCTCTCCCTCCCAGCAGGTTTTCCCACTGCTGTACCTCATTATGCTTATCCCAGATAAGACAACTTTCAGTGCACCCAAATTGTCCCAATAATTATAGTAACAGTAGTAATAACAGTAATAATAGTAATAATAATACTAACAGTAATAATAATAATGCTGCTGCAAAGTAAATGCAAGAAAAACACACCTGTGAAATTGATTGTATGAAATAGTGGTGCAGGAAACTGCTTTGGGTCACCAATTGCTTACTGGTCCATTTGCCCCTGGCATCAGGAGGAAAGCAGAAATGAAGAACCAGCAGCCTGTCCTGGCTGCCAGACCGCTCTGCCATTGCAGCCGGCTGAGAAAGTGCCCTATTGGACCATGGCCCCCAAACTGACGGTGGAAATGTAGGAGTATCATGGCCCATAAAACTTGAAATTTGTGTATTCCCATGCCCAGCAGAGCCAAGGAAGCCAGGTTTCCTACTGACCTGTGGCTGCAAGCCAAAGACCCATGTGGGGTCTCTGATGCCTAGTATGGATTGCGCTGATACATTTGAGTGAGAGCATTAGTAGGTTTTCTTTCCTCTACAGTGTCATTCTTTTTCACAAAGCTTGGAGGTCCCTGATATCTTGGAGATCTCCACCCTTCTATCAAATCAAGGTCAAAGTATGAGCTGAAAATTATTAGTAAGACACAGACAAATAGGCTATTCCACCTCCTTCCCTGTCCCCATCCTTCCCTCTGAGCACAGAGCATGTGCTAAGCAGCCACTTTCCATTAAGGAGCCAGGCTAAAGAATTAGGATGTCAAGGAGTGCAGCCCACCTCTAATGTCTTTGTCCCTGACTGAAGCTGGTGCAGCCCCTTCAGACTGAATTTGAAGAGCCAAAGTACCTGATGTGTTGTAACCCAGTTTTCTCCAAGTAATTGCTCCGCTTTTCTAAATCTTCTCTAAAAAACTCCCTACATTTTTCAGCTGGTGCTTAAAAGTGTACCCAGTAATCTGCAGAGAAGAGATGACTGAACAAAGGTACAGTCAAGCCTGGGGGAAAAAAATACATGAAGGCAGATTATAAAAGACCAGAAAAATAATCCTTCAGATATGGAAACTGCAGAAATTAAGAGGATGTTAGCAGAAATCTCTCATTATAGAGAGCACACAGGAAGCATCGGCAAGATTGCAAACTGACCAGCATATGAAGATTGTACAAGGGAGAAACCAAACCTGTCCAACAGCGGCCACCATCAGGTCTGCAGCAGTGCGACACTCATGGTGACAGCGGTGAATCTCTTGGCAGCGATGTCGACAGCGAAGCACGGAAAATGAGATCACTTGGGGAGTTTTTTCCAGCAACCAAAACTCTGCAGGAGTGACCCCTATCCAAACCTCAGCATCCTTCATCAGAGGGTTCAGGATGGAAAATTGCTCCCTGTGGCACTGGAGTCTGCAGTGAGAGCTCCAGTGGGGCAGAAGCTTTGCAGCTCACATGGGCAGTGGAGCCAGATGAAGGAGCAGTAGAAAAAAAAACCCATTCTTTTAGCATTCTTTACTGGAACCCTCTTTTCTTCTTCTTCGAGAAAAAACCAAGTCATGTTACAAGAGGTTTTTTTAATTTGGAGAAAGGAAATGTTTTCATGCTTTGTGGGTTAACTTTTTTTGCCATCCAACCCTAATACAGCAAAAGACAGAATCCTTTTGCAAAATGTTTTTTGCAAATCCTTTTGCAAATACCTAAAAGACAGTGCCGGTGTCAGGCAGACTGCTCTTGAATCAAAATCCTCCATGCTCATGTTGGTGTTTGGTTTTGGACCCTTTCAACATCACTCCAGTATAGTTTTCTGCTTCCTGAATCCTTGCCCTTCCTGAAATTGTGGGTTGCTTATTGTAAAACCTGCCAAGCGAATCAAGTGAATCAACTGTCCTACAAGGGCGAGGAACCAGCTGTGCCACCCACCGGTCCACGTGTCCATGGACTAGCAGGGAACCATGCAGAGGCTTCATTACTGACTGCAGACACTTCTACAGGCATAAATATTCTTCTTTAACTGTGTTGCTGCATCTCAAATGATCCATATGCAATTTTCCTCCCATGTCCAGGGAGCAGGGCTGTCAATGCTGGTCGGACCCTGGTCGCTCCAACAGATTTGTGCTGACCTGTTGGGCTCGCTTGGGGAATCTGTACCGGCAAATAGGTATCGAGTCGATATTGCAGAGCAGCAACAAGCACGGAGCAGAGGACCTCTGTCTGATTGCGCTATAGAGAAGAGTGTTCTAGAAACAGGAGCCTTGTACACAGAGCTGAGCCAAGCTTTTGGGTCCTGCTGCTGCCCAGATTACCCCAACACCCCAAGCCCACCTGGTCAGCATGGAGGAGAAGGTTTTGAGGTGTGCACTGAGTGACATTGGGATCAGACATGGGAACTCAGTTTCCCCAGCAGTGAAATGAGTCTTTCTGAGACTTGCCTCTTCCCCAGAGAGCCATGACAATTCATTAGGCAATTGTAAAATCAGAATGTAGCTGCTGACTGTGAGTTGTGGTCCGTTAATAGCCCTATTTATTGCCAACCAAATAATTAGCTTAGACATGCATCAATGGGTCTTGATTGCATAAGAAATAACTGCCTTATTACACAGAAATCAAATGAGTTTCTGAGGACAGCTCAGGTGTCACCTCAACCTCAGTACTGAAGAGGAAAAGAAAAAAAAAAAAAGCAAAGAAAAAACCCCAGCCATGTCGATGTGTTGCTCAGCAACAGAATTTGCGGGGGAAACAATCTAGGAATGGAGGAATGAGCATTTCCAAGAGAACGGGTTATTTCAGGCGAGACATCAGGGACAAGAAAATGTCACAGAGGCAGAGTACTTTTTTTTTTCCTCCTTTAATCAATAATTTAAACTAGGCATTTTGGGTAAAATAAGCATTTAAGTTAGCTGATTGAAAAACGGAGATCCCAAACCTTTATAAAGAGTCATATTGCTGAAGAAATGTTTATTTGTTTGTGTGGGGGAAACATTAGATTTACTAGACACTAAATTAAGAAATGAAAATGCTTGTAGAAATGTCACCTGTTCATTTAAAGGGGGAAATGAATTAATGCCAACATTGCTATATTGTGCAGCATCCCTCCCAGAGCAATCTCATATTAATTTTATTGTTCTCCTTCCCCCATGCCCTCCCCTCCCTCCCTCCCTTCTCCTTTCTCTTCTAGGACAAGACGAGCGCACTGAGTCTCAGCAATGTGGCGGGGGTTTTCTATATCCTCATCGGCGGGCTCGGACTAGCCATGCTGGTTGCCTTAATCGAGTTTTGTTACAAGTCCAGAAGTGAATCAAAGCGGATGAAGGTGGCAACCCATTCCCCGGCCTTTCACACCTTCTCTCTGATCCTACCCCGGCTCCAAAGTTGCCTTCAGAGATGGATGCAGCCCAGACCATGGGTGGAAAGCCAAGACATAGGGATAATAAAGTGACCGTGTCACTCAGCTTGCTAGAGAGGAACAGGAGACTCAGAGGAAGCTAAAAGAGGGTCAAATGGGCCATAATGGGGAGCTGATGCAAGACCAGACATGTGGCATAGTGCTAGTTCAAAATCCAGATATAGAGCAAAGTCATGCACAGGAACACATTGCTGCTCCTTAAAATTAATGGGAGCAGACCGTGGCAATGCGTGTGCAGCACGGATGAAGTGTGCTGGGGTTAGCATGGTACAGTCGTTACCGCAGTATGAAAAAATCCCCAAACCCAAGCAGTTACCAGCAAGATAAAACTGGGGTAGTGCAGTAATGAATCAGATCCTGTTGTTCCCTTTGCTGGCACCCTGCTGGCACCGTTTGCAGGTTTGGCAGCAGTGATATATGCTCAGAGCATTGTTGTACTGGAACAGATGATGTGGGTCTCCAAATTCAGGATGATGGATCTTCTTGGAGAGAAATTGGCCTCCAGTGTCTCCCATAATTTTTTTTTTCTCCACCCTGTCATGGTCTTGCAGAAGCATGCCTCCTATGACCCAGGAGATTTGTGTCAGCCCTAAACTGCGGTGTGCCTGAGTTTCAGAGTGTTGTGTCAAGAGCGGATTAGATCTGAGAAGCTTAGGAACACACATTTAATGCAGCATCTGTGATACATCTTGACTCAGATGCCTGGCAGAGGTGATCCCTTATTCAGATACCATTGTGTAAAAGGGTGCAGCGGGATCTGTGCTGTGAGAGTAACAGATGCCTTTTCTTCCTCATCTTGACCTCTGCCATGAGTATGGAAGTCAGTATGAGTATATGAAGTGTGCAGTGAGTTTTATAAAATTTAGAGAAATTTTCACTTCCCTGAGCTCTGAAACTTACCCAAAATCAGAAGGAAAACAAGCCATAGTTTCTTTGGGTTTTATGTCACCATTTCACAACGTGCTTAATGTTTTGTCAGCGATAATAACATTTCTAATTCCCTGAAAATGCGCAATAGCTCTTTTCCCATTGGGGTTCAGACAATTCTACAGGCAATGAGAGGTACATTGAGTAAGATAATGTGAGCAATTAATGTTCCTGAATATACAAAAAATTAAATTAGAATTCCTGTCTACACTGTAAAGCCAGGTATATCGTAAATACACTGCGACGAGAGTGTCAGAATGTAATAGCTCCATAGTTCTAGTCTTAAGGAGATTCTGTCCTGCTGTTGGCTGACCCACTAACTCATGTCAGCGTTAGCTTGCAGTGCTCTTGCCATGTTAAAACCAGCCACTGTGAGAAGGAATCGTTCCTCCCAATGTTGTCCTTTTGGCTGGCTCCCACCACCAGTGGCTGAATAGTTGTTCCATATTTATCTGTTCTGGATAATTCTTCACCTGGATATCCCAGTCCAGAAAGGATGGTGGTGCCCTTAGAGATAGCTTCAACACAAAGAAACCAAATTGGCTTCATCTTTTAGTTTAGTTGTTCTAAACAGGTGGTTTCCTTAGACCTCTGAAAGCAAACAGTGTGGATGGTATCTGGAACAGGAAGATGGGATTTGGTTTCCTGAATTAGGTTTGCGTTTCCCGGTTACCTCAGTCATCACTGTAGGCAAAAACGTAGGCACATGCTCAACTTCTCACATGAGGAAAGTTAACCGTATGCTTGCAGTGAGTCAGAGTCCACCATACATAACAGCACTGGAGTAGTAATTGCATATCTATGGGGGACGTGTGTATAATACCTCTGCTCAGCTCCAGGATGACTGTTCTTGTGGAGTTTGAATAGTTTTTGCATATGGCACGTATGCTTTATACCCAAAATACTACTGAAACTTTTGATTTTGAATGCAGAAAAGATGAGAATTAACAGAGCAGATGCAGTAGAAGCAGAAAGTGAGAGTCTGAACAGAGACAAGGAGGGAGAAAACAGTGACAGAAAGACAACACTGGTTTATATTGTAATTTCTCCAACATTGCTAAGGACAGGGGGAGACCCCCCCGTCCTTCCTAAAAAGGGTTTTTGTTTAATCCCACAGCAATCAATCAACGAAGCCATACGGACATCAACCCTTCCCAGGCCGGCTGCAGCAGGAGGCAGTGGAGAAAATGGACGTGTAGTCAGCCACGATTTCCCCAAATCCATGCAGACGATCCCGTGCATGAGCCACAGCACCGGCATGTCCCTGGGAGCTACGGGATTATAATTGGCCTTTTGACCCATTGCCTGGGTGAGAGCAGGGGCAGCCCAACTCCACCCCTTCCAGAGCCAAAAAACAAACCCAACACCAACAAGACAAATGACGATGACAGAAGGGACTATTGGATGGATCTTCTTGAGGAAATCAAATCTATTTCCCTTTTTATTTGCAAACAGATCCACTGGCAGGAGAACAGAAACAGGTCTGTACTGCAATAAGGAGAGTGTAATGGGATTTAACAGACTCGTGAACCATCCCTGATCAAAGAACCACTGGAACACTAATGAGGACTATGCCATTTTGTTTTAACTTGGTTGTTAATAAGTCTTGGTGTGTGCAATATATATATTTTTTCTTACTAATTCCTGTGGTGTCAGGGTAACATCAGCCTTTTCCCCCCTCCCTGCTCAGTCCTTCAATCTGGTTTAGTTTGGGATGCAAACCATAAAGTCTGAGCTACTAACAGCAAAAAGAAAATCCAACAAATGGCAAGTTGAACTCCCTGCAGGGTGTCAGCATTGACACCTTTTGTCCATAGTGATTCTGCCTTCTGTTGTTCTGATGTGAACTCGGGCTGTGGAGTTATTGCAACAAGCTGCGAAGGGCTCTCCCTGCAACAGGAAGGACTTTGATGCCAGAAAGAACCTCAACAAAAACACGAGGCTGTTTTACAGGGGCAAAGTCATGAGTGAGTTTGAAAACCCCAGGTAACCTGAGGACAAAGTGATAATCCTTCCAGAGATGATGAGTGGTGGTTCAATAGAAGAACAATGTGCCTGGAGTGGAGAGCATCATGCACGGCAGACTAGAGCAGATGGTTGGTCTAAGATCATGGTCCGCTGGTGTTAATGGAAGAGAGGAAGTAAATTCCACATTCCCCTCACATGTGACTCTCCTGCCTAGGTTATTGGGGGCTAATAAGCAATTGTGAACCATTTCTTCATTGCTTAGCTTCTGTGTGTGCTCCCTTTTTGGTGGTCACATAAGGGAACCACCTTGAGCCAGGAATAGACCATCTCAAGACATCCAGTTCTAGATGGCTGCCTATTAACCAGTAAAACATGCTAGAAGTCATGGGGCTGCAATGGGAATATCCCTGCCTTTTTGCTCTGAAATCCCTTTATGGCCATTTTTCTAATTAAGAGGGACATTTTGTAGATACTTGGCCAGAATGGCCTCCTGGAAGGAACTGCTGAAGCAAACCAAGGAGGAGACCCTACAAGAGCTTCATCCAAGTGTCCATGACATTTGACAGTATCAGGGCTGGTCAAACTCAGCCTTCCCATTGACTTGTGGCTTGTCTGGTAACAAAGCCAAAAGTAGCAGATTCCCACTCGTGTATCCTTAGGGAGGGGGAAGCATCCACAAGCCAGGAGATCAGGTCGCTGACCCCAAACTCGGTATTGCAGAAACCCGCACTGTCAGACAAGCAGCTGGGAGTCCGACCACAGGCACGGAGATCAAAGCAACAAGGATGGTTTTCCAGAACCAGACAAAAGGTTCATTCTGTGAATTGCTGGCATGGACAGACAAATGCTTCCCACCCTGGTGGGCCTGAGACACCTCCCCAGAAGTGAAGGATTCCCTGGGCAGCATCTGGAGAGAGAGAAGATCTGTGGGGCAGGGACCACAGTGGACACACTTAGCCTTGTCCCATCTCACAGGTCCATCACTGATGGCAAATAAAGTTCAAAGCTTCTCACAGGACCCAGCAAATATCTGTTCAGGGACTGAGACACTATCAGAGCATTCAGAGCTGCTTTGTCTTTTTTTTTTTTTCTTTTTTTCTTTTTTTTCCTTTGCTTTTTTTTTTTTTTAATTTTTTTCTGCAACGTAGCAAGAGAGGAGCAGGAAAAGAAGGGAGGCAGATGAAGAGAAAGTGTTGCAGGCAAATGACTGGCACAGGTCTGCGAGGAGGATCTGTCTAGGCAGCTGTCCATAAGTACAGCTGGAATCTGCCAGAATACCAGTTTCCATTAGTGTATGAATGTGCAGAGCAATACATTTACCACCTTTAACACCAGCTCAGTCTGAAGTATCTGTTCCAGTTACCCACTTGGCAAGCAACACTTTGGAGACCAGCAAGTCAGAGTCAAGGTCCTACGCACGAGCACAGCATGCCTTGTGCCAATATGTTTTCCTCTCTCCACCACTGGAAACCCTTGTGATCTTCATCTCTCATCACCAAACATGAACTCTGTTGTCGGCCGCTCCAAACACCTCTTCAAGTCACTTTGTGTTGGTTATCATTATTTTTTGTCTGCTTTTCTTTTCTTAGTTTTAACTTCAGCTCTGTGTAAGTGCTAGCACAGTGGAGGCATCCCACAAGCTAGCCTGTTTCTGTGCCCAGAGCCCTCGGATGCATCTCCTGGCCCAGCTCTTGCCATGTCTCAGACCTTGCACAGCCAGCACAGTGGTGGGAGCAGGCTGCTGATACCCATCAGCACCCCGTCCTCCTCCAAAGACAGGACCACAAGGCAGCAGGGTGTGGGAAGCCCAACCGGGCAGTTGGACAGACTCGTGAGAAGCAGCACATCTGTGCGAGGACTGGCCGCCTGTGACGTGAAGATGTGAGACATAGGTTTTAAAGGCTTTTGATCAGTGGAGGGGTTAAAAAAAATATGAATAGGACAAAAGCGTGGAAAAATGTTAACTTGTAATATGTATTTTTACTACACTTTTCTTAAAAATAGAGTAATGGTAAAACTCTTAAAGACATTGACATTTTTTTTCTCAACAGGAATCCATATTTAACAGTTTTGGCTTTCATTAAATTTTGCTCTTTGGTACCTGGATCTTTTATTTAACAGCTACATTTGTTTTGACTCTCTTTCGTATTTTCTTTTTCTTTCTTTTTGTTTTTTTGGCAATACTGAAAAGGATTTTGCTTTATCAAATGCAACAGTGTTTTTCTTTTCACATTCTCTTTTTTTTCAAGCAACATTTTTATTGGTAATTATTATTTACACAAAAATTAAACTATCAGCTGGATTTTTATCACCAAGGATCCATGATCCATTTTTCATACCTGTCCATGCCGTTTTGTGCCAGTGCTGGATGTGTGGAAATGAAAATGATGTTACCCCTCAGGCAATATTACCCAACCTGAATCAAATGAGATTTCCTTGATTATTGCTGTGTCTGACTTGTGAACAGCAGCCAAATAAACTGCTTCAGGTTGAAATTGGGAATCTATCTAATATTTACCCAAGAGTCAGGAAACCAACTATTCAATTTTGCTTCGTTTGGAGTTTTGTGGGGTTATTTTTTTGAGGAGGGCTATTAGAGGATTTTGGCTTGTTTTTTACAGAGAGAGAAGGCATGGTTAGCTCAGAGACAATTCAGAACCAGCACTGGTCCAAAAATCCTCGCCAGGGTCAGCTTCCCTAGGAGCTCCCATGCTTTTTCAGAGGCTTGGACATGCAAGATGTTTCTCACTCAGTTTCCACACAATTAACCTGCCAAATGCCTCATCCAAAAGTCTGTTGAAGGGGGAAAGCGAGTAGGATTTAAAGGGCCTTGGACATTTATACAGATGCTGACAGCTGCTGAGGTTCACTATAATTACTGATGTCACGCTCTTATGTAGCGCTCGGTGTCACTGAGCTGGAAGGGCTTCCCTTCCCCATGGCATCATTCCCGTTTATCGGCTGGGGAAGCTGAGATACCAAAGTGCCTTGGACCAGGCATCTCAGCTCACCCCACAGGGCCGTGGTTAGAGACTCAAGGTCCCCAACATTCACAAGGGTTTTTTACCCACTGGTAAGTTTTAAACATAGAGTCAGCAAGAGGCAGAATTAATACATTTTGTAAGGGGCTACAGACCCTCAGGCTTCAAAGCAAAGGGACTCCCAGTCCATGGGGCCTGAGGGAGATGTTTCCCATGGGCAGACTGTGCCAGATCAGCCCATTTTGGTCTTCCACAATTGCTTAAGCATCCAGTACTGTACTCTGGGCTTGGATCCTGTCTCAAAATGCTCTTCTTGCTCAGTGGTTCATTCTTGGTTCCCAGTGAGGTTGCAGACATGCACACAAAATTTTCCTTTGTATCTTGGTATAAACAGGACAAAATTCCCTCCCTAGTGGCAAAAGCAATTATTCCGTGTAAGAAAGTCACCAGCAAGAATCCAAAACCATCTTCAGCAGTTGTTGAAGCAAAAAAACACTGAACCTTGAAGTGCAGCAGGTGAGGAACAGGTGCATCACCCAGTCCATCCCTTTGCTATGGGACAATAACACTGGCACCAGAACACAAAGCTGGGATGCTCCAAAAAGATTCGGCTGGACTTGTTTGTCCATGTGCCTACGTGCCATCAAATGCAAGGAGAATTTACTCATCTAATCTCAGTGAAGGGACAGGGCAGGGGTACATCAATGTTTGCTGTAACCCGGTGGGTTCCACTAACCTGCTCAGCTCCAGCAACTCAGCTGCGTACCTCCATCAGAAGTTTTGGGAGATGTGGGGAAGTTTTCACTGTGAACACAAGCTCGTGCTCAGTTTTCAATGACATGGACGGTCACCCAAGTCTCATGCATGGCTCTGGGTCTCCAGAAGAGTGGTTTTGTGCATGTTTCTAACATGTTGGTCCACCATTGAGGCACATATCAGAGCTTAGATGACCCATCACAGTGGTGTGTGGTACCCTCAGGACACTGCTGGCACTCTTCACTGCCATGGCATGAGAAGTAACAGCGCAGATTTGGGCTTAGCTAGTGGAGATTGCTCTGAAGCACCACCCTGGAGACTGGAAGAGATGGGTTCAGGCCCTTCCCACCAGCAAAGGTACCAGATTAACCCCAAATACCTTTTAGAGATCTGTGTGGCCTGTTCTCTAATGGCTTTTGTAGCTGCTGACAGGTTTTAAACACAGATCTCACTGTTGCCTTCATGTTACCTATGGGCACCAGCCACCAGTGCTGGTTTTGTGTCTTGATCACCCACTGCTGGCTGAAGCTCCCATGTTTGCATCTCTGCTGCCCACAGGGATGTCACTATGCCATGCACCGCTGCCCACCAGCCCACAGGAGGGCAGGGCTTTGGGAGCAAAATCCACATGCAAACCCCAGCTCAAATGATGCCAGACAGTGGCAGACAAAACTGCTGGGGTTCCACGTTGCTCCAGTTTTCTTACAAAACGACACCCCTCCCAGCTTCCTTCTTGCACAGAGCTGCTCTGTTCTTTTCCAGGAACTTGGTCCTGATGGTTTGAGTGTATAAAATATATTAATTTAGTCTGAAGGGACCTGGAAAAGGTTCTAGGCATGGAGGGGTAGCTCGAGACTGATGTCTCCATCAGCATTCTGATCATTCCCACTCTGATTTTCCACTCAGTCCTGACCTGCAGCATCGCC